TCATGGCTGCTGTTACAGTCTGCGGTGATCTGGGATCCCAGGAACGTGAAGTCTGTCACTACTTCCACGACTTCCCCTTCTATTTGCCAAGGAGTGATGGGGCTGGATGCCATGATCTTAGTTTTTTTGATGTTGAGCTTCAAGCCCACTTTTGCGCTCTCCTCTTTTACTCTGATCAAGAGGCTCTTTAGGTCCTCTTCACTTTCTGCCATTAGAGTGGTATCGTCTGCATATCTCAATTTCAATTCAATTCAAAGCCTTTTTTTGGCATATAAATAAAGATACAGTAATCTAAGTACAGAATCATGCAGAGTCTGAGGTTGTTGATCTTTTCCCCAGCAATCTTAATTCCCACTTGTGATTCATCCAGGCCAGCATTTCGCATGATGTACTCTGCATATATATTAAATAAGCAAGGTGACAATATACATCCTTGTCGTACTCTTCCGCACCCAATACATCAAGGCTCTGTGCCCAATACCACCACCGACAGCCTGAGCTTTGCCGACTTTAAACTCAGTTATCGACTGCATTTACCAGTATGTTGATGCTACCCTGCTTTCGCCATCACCACTTAAATGGTTGTTTTAAAACTTTTAAGCTATTATTTATACTGTTGTTTTAGCTGCTGCATTTTATGTAAGCTGCCCTGAGCCTGCTCCGGCGGGGAGGGCGGGGTATAAAATAAATAAATTAATTAATAAATAATAAAAATCTAAATAAGTTACCAACATATCTATTGTTTCTGAGAGCTAGGTCTAAAACTAAGTTTAACTGGAGTAATAAAAAAGATTTATGCATATATTGTACCAGATCAGACATACAGAGAAAAATACATCGGAAAATGAAGTAACAAGGAACAATTGCATGGAAAAAAACAGACACTTGATGGAACATGGGAATTGGAGGGGTGTGTGTGACTTACACCAGAGTTTACCAGAGAGAATACTAAATGCAGTGTCAGACACCAGCAAAAAGAATGGAAGGTAGAGCTGCTGCTTTTATGTTCTTTGGATTATAAATTGATTTGTGAAGGAAAACAGGCTGTACCCCTCTACTCTGCTCAGCTGGTGGTAGCATGATCCTCTGATATAAGGAGCTCAGAGACCCTCTTGTTTTAGAGAAAGCCTCCTTGTGCCAGTCGAGTGGAGGAGGCAGATACAATCCTGTAACAACTTAAGAAGCCTGGTGAGTTTCAGATTTTATGAAAAATTAATTCTCATAACTGCAGCTGGATTTTGAATTTAGAAATCCTCTAACAAGTATCAACACACAGGCTAATAAACTAGAACTGAGAAGTGCAATCTCGTACAGCAAGCAAAACAAGATTGTTCTGTAGCGAGGAGCAGAAATATAAACAGAAAAGTGCTTGAAAAGCTAGGAACAGAAGCAGCAGCCACCAGGAGAGTGAATTCAGGGAAGGAATTTGATCAGCCTGAAGAAGGCAGAGCTGCAAGTTGAAACAAGAGGAAGGGCAGCAAAATGTTAGGGTGGGGCTGCCCATGGCCCAGCTTGCAGATACTGCTACTGGCGCTCAGAAAGCTTCCACATTCAAAAGCAACAGCCAGAATATTTCCTTATTTTGAACATTATTTTGAAGACTGGCACAGTTTAAAGGAGAGGTTGTAAGCTTGACAACACTCAGAGGAAACTGACCATACCTTTTTAACAAGGAAGCCCTCTTTCAGGATTCCACTTCCTTCCTGCATCCTTGCTGTCCAGAGATTAAGTGTGTCTGTTAATAAGAGTGCAAGCAGATGCAAGCCTAACCCTTTGTGCGTAAAGGTTTAAAAGGCAGACTAACTTTTGTTACCCTCCTCTTTCTCTAGTGTGACGTCTATTCCCCTCCCTAGCCAAGAGACAGGAGGTAAATAATGAGCTGGCAGTGGGAAAGCACCTGCCCTTAAAAGAATACAAAACAGGGAAAGTTTAAGAGAGTCATTCAGCTGTAGCACTATTTCACTACAACTCTACCTGTTAGGACCAGCTCATCCAGTGACTCAGGTATCTAATTATACAGCGCAGGAAGGAGGCAGACGTGTTGTAGGTGGAAGCTAAGAATGGAGATGACAATGTTTTGTTCATCAAGGTTTCAGACATTCTGAAGTTGGGTGTATTAACATACTGTTTGCTCTAAAATTTATAACCTCCAGGCTGCATACAGAAAGCACTAATATGCCACTGACTTGGCTTTATCTGCTCATATCCTCTCTCCCTTGGTGGACAGTTTCAAAAGTCACCAATCTGGGTCTCATTTACATGACAGTTGAATCTGAGTAGTTTGTGAAAGTTTGTTTCTTCCCCATCAACCAGAATTCTGAACCAGAATTAAATAGTAGTTTAGAATCCCGGTTTGTCAGGAAAAAAGGAACCTGGTTTGTCCAAGTACCAGCATTTCGACGCCATGACAAAAATGGAGTTAAACTGAAGATTGTGGGAACCACGAAATGTTCACTTGTGTTCTCCATATGAGGTGGCAAGGGAAGGATTGCACAAAAATTATGAACTAGGTTCAGGCCTATCACAAAGCAGCCTCTGCCTGTTTGAACAGAGCTTCAGTGACAAAAGCTCTGGATAACTACATAGAAAAAAATGGTTGTATGAGTAATCTTTTCCTTCACTATAGGGAAGAAAATTATTTGAGCAAAGAAATGGGAATGGAAATTGTATCCCAATAAAGCAGGGTTGTCGAACTCATTTGTTATGAGGGCTGGATCTGACACAAATGCGGTTTTGTTGGGCCAGGCCATGTGTGTTATAAAATGTAATGCCAGGTATCGGAGATATAAACTTTATAAAGGACACAGACAAACACAATTAAAACATTTTAAAACTTTAAATAAAACATGCTTAAAACATTAGCACTCTTGCAATATTTTGTCTATTTAACAGTCTCTGATAACTGACACCTCTTGCTCTGAATTATTGCATCAAAATGTTTGTGCTGTAGCAATCTTGAGTATGCTGTTCAGGTATGTATCTGTAAGCTGCAAACATACTTTTGATTTATTGACATTCATTACAGAAATCTCATGCTCAGTGTTCTGAGCCTAGGACCCAGGGAAAATAATCAAATGGCTGGGCATTGCAACCTTTTGTACATAAGTTGCTTCATATGCTGGTCAAGAACATGAGAAGGCATCCTGACACAGACTGAGGGCCATGTGCTCATCTACAAAACTATACCTTCCCCAAAGAATAACTAAAACTTCCTACAAAGGAAATGTGCTGGGTGAACTTGGTCTGGACACACACTCTCAGCCTAATCCACCTCACTGGCTTGTTGTTATTCCTCCTCTAAAATAGTTCACATTGCTTTATTACTGAGAAAGACTGAATAATGAGGGCATGAATACAGTGAAAAGGGGAACACAGTTGCACCCAGGAGAGCCCTGGCATATAGAGCCCAACAAAACACACACACACTGTAGCAAGGCACACAAAAGCTCATACCTTGAACAAAACCTTGTTGGTCTTAAAGGTGCTTGGTATTTCTCCTGTGCAATTGAGGCAGCAAAGCAAGCTCTCCCTCCTTCCCTCCCTCCCTTCAGGGACAAGCCTCAGCCAGTGGAAGGAAAGAAAGGCTTCCCTTTGTCTCCTGCTGCCTGGCCAGGAAGCAAACTCTGGCTGTTCCCTCCCTCCTCCTGGGAGGAGGAGGGGGAGGAGCCTCACTCAGTTCTTTATCAGACTCTCAGTCGTACAGGACAGATAGATGGCAAGCCTCTCCTGTGAGAGACTGGTAAAGCAAGCTGTGACGTGGCGGCAGCAGCAGAACTACCAAAGGAAACAGCCAGGACTTTGCAGGCTGGATTGGGGCCCTCTGAGGACCTGATCCTGCTTGCGGGCTGCATGTTTGACACCCCTGCAATAATGTTTGTTAGAGCATTTACGCTCTGCAAAGTGTGTGAGCCTTATCAATAGGTATTTTTTATTTTTATTTTTATTTACATTCAATTTATATACCGCTCTAACCCTTAACAGATCTCTGAGCGGTTTACATAGCATCTCCAATTTCACCTAACTAGGGCCACATTGTCTATAGGGTAGTGTCTGCCTACCAGCACCCAGGGCTTTGTTGTTATCCGGCTTCCTCCAGCGGCTTCGGGTATCGGCGTCCTTCTGGTGCCCTTCTGGAGCAGGTCTTTTCCGGGCAGCTTCCTCCGGCAGGCCTTGTTCTGGCGCGTGGCCCCGTGTCAGCTGTAGCCCCGGCTAATGTCCTTGATGGCTCCGCCACGCTGCGCCACACGTCACCGCACTCTCCAAGCCTCTGCCTCTCCGGGCTCTGCCTCTGACATCGCTCCACTGGGCCGCCAGGAACTGCTCCGCCGCTGCTGCCGATACCTCTGCCTCACAAGGAGGAGGGTGCCCCCCGCCACCTAGGGGCAGGTACCCAATTTATCTACTTGCCATTTAATGCTTTTGAACCGCTGGGTGGGTGGGATCTGGGACTAGGTCCGGGAGCTCACCCTGGCCGCGGTGGGTTTCGAACAGCCGTAATGGCTGTTCGTTGATGTTACTTGCAGGCGTTCTTACTGCCTGCGCCACCGCATATTTTTATGTATTCTTTTCAAGGAACAGAATAGTATGGGTAGGCAATCTTCTAAATTGTATTTGTAACTCATCATACATGTTTCTAATGTTTTACATGACCATTCATCAGCACAGAGGCTTTGGGCTCTTCCAGGTCCTGGTTAGAACTATGTTACTGGCCACTAATATAAGATTTACTATGTGATGGCTCTAATTTTAGAGCCTGTGTGCCAATTGTATGTGCATTTCACTCACAGGATTAAAAAAAAATCTAATGGTGAAAACCTAAACAGAATTATGGCATTCTAAATTAATTTATTTCAGTGGACTTCAAAGGGAATCTATTTAGGACTGGACTCAAGGAGAGAAAGGGATCTTTATAGTCAGAATACATGATTTTAAATAGAATGCCTAGAAATAAAAAATTTAAATGGGAAGCATTCATAGTATACCTATTAACACTATGCCTGTTATATTCTGAAATCTAGCATTGTGAGTCACAGGAAAGGAAGCATTAGTCACCGATCACTGCTCCCACATGGCAGCCAAGTTGTGTGCAAACATTATTACAGAGGGTAAAAATGAAGAGATTAGCCCACAGTTGCTTGTTTCATTATGGAAGACTGCTCTAGTATGAAGAGTTATCCCCATATTGTTGTATGTATTTCATAAGAGTCCTCCAATGTAAGGGGGGGCCCAGACACTCACTTGTCTTCCTTTGTGAAGGTGACATCCACCTTATTATGCAGCTTGATTATCCACAAAGGGTTCACATAGTTTCAGCTCCCTGGCCAGTGTCTGAAGTACATAAAGTACAGAAACCCATTGCTTCATTACAAGAAGAAAGAAGCAAAACAGAGCCAAGTCAAAGGACGGATTGTTCCAAAAAATCATACAGAACTTCCCTAAGTGCTGTGCAATTAACAACTTCAGATCTTTATCTGGAAGTGCCTACCATAAAATATAATTACTATTTACCAAAAATATGCCAACACAATACACATAGGTTCGTAATTAAGCACTTGCCTGGTTGCCCATGGTGAGTCAAAATGCCTCTAGATAATCAGGGCAACATTAAGACAGCAGAGACCCAGCAGCCACAGAACTATGCTGCTTTTCCCCAGAAGAAAAGCTCTCTTCCCACTCTGTCTCGTGGCGTGCCCAGACAAGGAGCAGCCACAGTATGCTGCTCTTTTCCATTAGGCTGTTGGTAGGGTTTCTTTCATTGGAGGCAGAAGTCCACTCTGTCCCTGCTCAACCTCTATCTTCTGAGGGCCCTTTTATATGTTACAGTGGATGTGGAAACTGCTGTTTTATGGCATTATGCCAAGCTGTTTCTGTAACATTTGAAGCCACAGTGGCACAGTACCATGGCTACAATAGCAGTAGAAAAGAGCAAGAGTCCAGTAGCTCCTTAAAGACTAACAAAATTTGTGTCAGGGTGTGAGCTTTCATGAGTTAACATCAGAAAATAAGAGAAGTCAATGTTGGATCAGGCCAATGGCCCATCCACTCCAACATACTGTCACACAGTGGCCAAAAATACAAGGTGCCATCAGGAAGTCCAGCAGTGGGGCCAGGACACTAGAAGCCCTCCCACTGTTGCCCCGCCCCCAAGCACCAAGAATACAGTGCATCACCTGCCCCAGCCTGAGAGTTCCTATCTATACCTTGTGGCTAATAGCCATTGATGGACCTCTGCTCCATATGTCGATCCAAATCCCTCTTGAAGCCGCCCATGCTTGTAGTCGCCACCACCTCCTGTGGCAGTGAATTCCATGTGTTAATCACTCTCTGGGTGAAGAAGTACTTCCTTTTATTTGTTTTGACTGCTCAGCAGTTTCATTGAGTGCCCACGAGTTCTTGTACTGGGAGAAAAGTACTTCTTTCTCTACCTGCTCTATCCCATGCATAATCTCAATCATGTCACCCCTCAGTCGTCGTTTCTCCAAGTTAAATAGCCGCAAGCGCTTTAACCTTTCTTCATAGGGAATGTGTTCCAATCCTTATCATTCTAGTTGCCCTTTTCTGCACCTTTTCTAATGCAATAATATCCCTTTTGAGGTGTGGTGACCAGAACTGTACACAGTATTCCAAATGAGGTCGCACCATTGATTTATATAGGGGCATTATGGTATTAGCTGATCTGTTTTCAATACCCCTCCTAATAATCCCCAGCATAGCATTGGCCTTT